AGAGAGAGAGAGAGAGAGAGAGAGAGAGAGAGAGAGAGAGAGAGAGAGAGAGAGAGAGAGAGAGAGAGAGAGAGAGAGAGAGAGAGCAGGAACAAGTAGAGGAATACCAGGACAATCAAGTAGAGCGTGGTGTTGATAAGAGACCTGTCTCAGCATTACAGATATGCTCTAGATGTTGAAAATCTTTGAAGCATCATTTATGATCGCCATCATCCCTCAATCTTCCTTTAGGATTTCCTCAAGCCCTGCAGGAGTACCAAGAAAGTCAACAATTCTATGAAGTGCCGCTTTCAACCGAATATTTTCAGCTTCCAGTGTGGCAACTCGGGCTTCTATTGGCTTCCCAAGTGCAAACTTGACTGCAAGTTCATCTGCAGCTGTACCACCACGCTTGTCGAGAAGCTTCGCCCTGTTTTCTTTCTGCACCACTCGCAATTGCTCTTTATCCTTTTCGGCATTCTCAACCGTCAACTGGCCTGCAAGAAGCAAGTGTCCGACATTTATATATGGAAAATTCTCTGCAAAATGGACTGCAAACACCTTTACGGCATCCAAGAGCACAAAGAACAGGATGTGGTATACCCACACAATGCCTGATGCTCCCCAGGACATCCCTCTCATAGGCTCATACGGTCCCCGTGCTTTACCGCTCCTCCAGTAAACTGATATCAGAGTTGAACTCAGGCATGAACAGCAGACAGGGAGTACTAACCACAAGGACGGTGGCGGTGCGGTGTTGCTCGTGAAGTAAAAGAAGAATCCGTTTGTTCGGGAGGCAAAGATGTTTAGCTGGACCGCTATGGACAAGCTAAGGAAGACCGCCGCATATGTCTTCGAATCAGGAGCACCATCAGTCATGATACCAAACACATGCCACCAGTCCCAAGACTGCCGGCGTGAGAGAAGCAACAGAATGAAACAGGAAACGAATGCCATTACGCCAATGACGCAGGATAGCAAGAGGAGGTACCCCATCCGCCATCTCAGTGGATTGTTGGAGCTGTAGACATTGTCCAGAGATGTCGACATGACGGTGAAATCGTTCACAAGGCTCAAGAGGATCAGTGACCAAGAAGGCAGCTGAAATCGAAGAGCCACAAGTGAGAAGAACGTAAAGAGAAGCACAAGAATGCTGCTGGCAAGCCTATAGATGACGTACGATTCGAGTCTTCGGAAAATCTTACGGCTGCGCGTAACTGCAGTGATAATCGTCGACAATCCAGGTTTTGTCAAGATCATGTCAGCTGCTCCCTTCGCTGCCTCTGTTGCTCCTGCCACTGTGAGGATTGTCCATTTTTTTTCAAAGTTTTGATCATGTATCACATAGAAAGCTCAACTTCCATACCTCTCCGGGCCCCCATGCCCCGCGTGCAACCCCCTCTCCAGTACCATCCTCCCCCCAAACCACCCACACACCCACTTTCCTCCCCCCCACCCCCTGCCGCCCGTTCTCCCAGCTGTGCCTGCTCCCCAACCCCACAACCAAACATACATCCTCCCACCTCACCCCAAACACACATACACAGACGTAGGCATAAGTGACCAGTCCTCTGGAGTTTTACTCCAAGAACTGGGGAAAAACAGGCCTGCTCGGCAAAAAATTGTAAATTTGCACAAAGGTTTGGAAATATTAATTTCATAATTCAATATCTTATATTCATGGGACAATTGGTGCAGTTCCCAGCACGTGCTGCTCCTCAAGAATAACCATTCATTTACTGGAATGGAAGCTCCAAATTCTGGTGAGTTTTATGTTGCTGTAGTATTCCCATGGTATTGAATCTGGACAGCCCCCTGCCCACATCCCTGTGTGCCTTAACGGCACACTTGCACGTTATGAAAGGAGGCAGAGTAAAAGGGGGGTATACTCCTCTCCATTTTTCCTCAGATCTTCAGCTTATATTATTAGTAGGACAAAAGGGGCGGGAGGAAGGAAGGAAGGGGTAGGGCTGGAGTTCTATAAGAAGCAAGAGGCTGTGTGTGTTTGCGAGCGAGCGAGAGAGAGAGAGAGAGAGAGAGAGAGAGAGAGAGAGAGAGAGAGAGAG